AAAAACCAAATTAAAACTTAATATACGAAGAAAATAAACTATGAATCAGTAAGAAGCATAAAGAAGTAAATTTCCCCTTTTATTTATGGCACGATTTTTTTGTTGCAATAACAGCAGCAGATTAGCTATACAATTTCTAAGAGGTAAATTAGACATCAACTCTTAAAAGATTTAAATTTAAAAAGATATCAAAACGCACATATGGTGTTCCGCTAGTCAAGCGACCGCTGTTCATTTCCAATCTTTTGAAATGTCAATATATATGTAGGTCCCACACCATCTTTAAGCCTTCAGACGAGAGTATTTTCGCTTGTTGCTTATAGACTGACATGCATTTTCTGATTAACAGGGTCCAAGGGGTGAAACCGTTGATAGCGAGGGAATGCTACCGGGACCTGATGGAGACCAGGGCGAAATGGGTGTCAAGGGACAGCCTGGTGATGCCGGTAGGCCATGCTTCTAATACTTTTGCGTGTCTGCCTGTTTTTAATTTGGCTTGATTCGCGCTATTGCCTGGATATCTGCCCAGCGCATTTTTAACACCATTATAATTCTATGTTCTAGGACCACCGGGTGAGCCTGGCTTAGTGGGCCCACGTGGTCCTCCTGGCGAGCCCGGTCCCAAGGGTGAAAGGGGGCCTGGCCATGGACCGCTTATCCCTGGTGAACGTGGACCCAAGGGAGAACGAGGTGGTTAAGAGGTCTTTGTTGGCCTCCACAAGCTGCATGCTGCACTGAAGTTGCGAATTTGAATATATCAATTAAAATTAAATTCCCCTGTCTTGTAGGATTGGCTGGCCTCGATGGAAAACGTGGCAAGACTGGCGAAGCCGGTCGTCCGGGACCAAAGGGAGACAAGGGTCTTCGGGGTCGTGACCTGGTTGGACCTAAGGGTGAACCCGGCCTTCCTGGCGGGACTGGCCCGGAGGGACCTATCGGTAAATTTGCAATCTTCGTGCCTTCAGATTGAATTTACTTAGCTTTTTTATTGCCGGACATACATGATTGGGACCT